AAGTTGCCGACAAGTAATATGGAGATGTAAAGAAGGAAATGAGGACTTGGAATTTCAGGATCAGGGAGAGTTTTGTGAAGGGAAAGTATTTAAAGATTAAAAAAAAAATGGGCACTCATGTATTGAATGGGTGAGTGTACTTTGTCAAAGGGCAGAATATGCTGGGGAAAAACAACAACAACAACCCCCAAACAGAAAACGTCACGAGTGGAGTGTAAGACTCATGCTCCTCTCCACGTTGAGGAGATCGAGCTGTTGAGGCTCAGATTCCAGAGGAAGGAATTGGCATTGGGAATAACTCTTGAATCACAAACAGGAGTGTGCAAATGACTCTTTTGAGCCTTCATCTCACCTTGCTACAAGTAAATTCAGTGTGTCATTTGGGGGCTCTTCTCACTCCCTCGGTATCTCAGAGACTTTTGGGGTTTCTTGAAAAACAGAGAACTTGCCCCTAATTTTTTGGCTCATACTGGTAGTTCTATTGTTACAGCCGTCACAGAACCTTAAAGGTAGTGGTTGTTTCTGGGCTCTCTTTGAGCTGCAGTGATCTTCATTTACATGGGAGCCCTGTTGCCCCTGGGAAGGTCTCTCTTGTTTTACACCTGTCCTGCCCCTCAGAAGCCCTGGCTGCTCCACCAGAGACTGTCGGGAGTAAACGCAGGTCTCTGCTGTTAGTAGAGACCACCATGCTTTTCTAATGTAGGGCAGACTCTGTTTTCTCCTTTGCCCCATCTTCCTCTGCCTCCCTCCAACATAATCCACCCGAGGGACTGAAGCCCCTGAATTCCAAACAGCAGGCAGGGTTGGTAGGGAATTTGCTTTGAAGCATCTGCTGCAAAGCTCCCCTGAAGCAAGGCAGCAATTAACCTGGCTACTTGATTGGCCTAGGAGAGGACATCACTGGTGATGCAAAGCACACATTAATAGTTAAATAAACTGTCCAACATCTACTTGATTGGGTGGGGCAATGAGAAGCCACTGAAAGTAAGTAATTGTGTTAGCATTTATTGTTCATTTTTTTTCTTCCATTGGTTTAAAGATAAAGGGGAAAATGCCAACCAAAAAGAAAAAAAAAATGGTGGAGGATGCTAGCCTCTGGATTTGGTGGACACTGTCTTATAGGCAACCCCTTCTAAACTGGCCAGCTATCTCCTGGATGTTCGTCTCCTTTTCCCTTTACTTTGGGTGGCCCTAGTCACAGGACAAGGAGTTTCCTGTTGCATGTTGGTGATAATCAACTCTTCATTTTTTCCTAGATGTCATATTAACTTGAAGGCTATCTTAGCAGAGATTGGACCTGAGACCATTTAAAAAAAAATTTTTTTTTAATGTTTATCTATTTTGAGGGAGAGAGAAACAGAGTGCAAGCAGGGAAGGAGCAGAGAAAGAGGGAGACACAGAATCTGAAGCAGGCTCCAGGCTCTGAGCTGTCAGCACAGAGCCCGATGAGGGACTCGAACCACGAACCTTGAGATCATGACTTGAGCCGAAGTCAGACGCTCAACCGACTGAGCTACCCAGGCGCCCCCTGAGACCAATTTTTAAATAAGGCTTCTAGGTTGGTAGAAATTGCACTGAGTCAAGGAACAGGAATCTAGAAAACGGTGATTTAAAAAATTAGAGATTTTCAGGGGTGCCTGGGTGGCTCAGTCAGTTAAACGTTGGACTCTTGATTTTGGCTTAGGTTATGATCTTCTCGTTCGTGAGTTCAAGCTCTAAATTAGGCTCTGTGCTGACAGTGTTGAGACTACTTGGGATTCTCTCTCTCTCCCTCTCCCTCTGCCCCTCCTGTGGTCTCTCTCTCTTTCTCAAAATAAATAAATAAACTAAAAAAAATTTGAGGTTTTCTTATTCTTACATTTGGAAGTAGAAGGTCTAGTACTGATACTGGGGTTTCATGCAGCCCCCAGGACTGTCTTAGGTTTCCACTCAGGAATCCTTACCTCGTTCTTGGGGCATCGAGGTTATAATATGGTCACTCCACCTATTACATCATGTATCCAGACAGGAAGAAGGGCAAGGACAAAGGATCTAGTCTGCTGAGGCTACCTGCCTTTTGAAGGGCTTTCCCAAAAGTCCCATCTGGTGACTTTCACCTATATTTCATTGTCCTGAAATGTGTCGCATGGCCATCTGTAGATGCAAGGGAGGCTGGGAATTGTAGCTTTCAGCTGGGCTCATTACCACCCTGACAAAAATTAAGGTTCTGTTAGTAAAGAAGAAAGGAGAATGGATATCAAGTAGGCACCTAGCCATGACTGCCACTTTCCATATTATTTTGCCCTTTTGTTGAAGTTAGTGTGTCTTCTGGGAGAAAACCAAGTTTCAGCAAACAAAAGTAAATCTTCTGCAAACTCTTCTCTTCTCTGTGTACCTGTCCAAAGGCATAAAAGTGATTTTTGTATTGGTAATTCATATGATGCATGTTACAGTTTCCTCCATTAGTGAACATCATCCTGAATTGATTATGTTTGGGGGTGCATGTGTGTAGTTATATACACAGCTGCCTCAAGTGGCCAGTTGTTGATTAATCATATTTTAGTACCTTATCTCCTCTGACTTTTTACTTCTCTGTGTGGATACATCAACACGCACTTTGGGGCGCATGCGTTGGTTAAGCATCTGACTTCGGCTCAGGTCGTGATGTCATGGTTTGTGGGTTTGAGCCCCGCGTTGGGACCTGTGCCGACAGCTCAGAGCCCGGAGCCTGCTTTGGATTCTCTGTCTTCCTCTCTTTCTCTGCCCCTCCCCAACTCATACTTGCTCTCTCACACACACACTCTCTCTCTCTCTCTCAAAAATAACTAACATTAAAAAAAAAAAAAAACATTTTCTTGCTCCCTGATCTTTGTATCAGAGCCAGTCCTCGCTCATGACTGCTCTGCATTGTACCTTTCTTCATTACAGATTTAGTGTCATGGGTGCCTTAATTTCAGCATGCCCGAGTAAACTTAATGTCTGTCCCTTCTAAACTTTCTCGTCTTCTGTGTCGCTCATATCAATGAGTGTACATTCCCAGGTTTCAGGAGTCCTTCCTGAAACCTCCCTCATGTTCCTTCCTACCCACAACCGTTTGATGTTACAATCTTGTCCAGATAGTATGCCACGTATTCTCATATTTGTCATCTTGTCTTGAATCCACTGCCACTTCTTGGGCTCACCCAGTTTGGACGAGCTGTGTTTAGCTATTTTGTTGCCACAATAAGTATCCCATGTTTTATTTCATTTCATGAATGGCTTCGCATGTAATCTAGGATGTGCAGCTCTCTGCGATGTTTTCCAATTACTGTGTTTTCATTTAGATGACATTTTAAAAATGTAAACAATTGTGGATCACCTGAACGGCTGCCTTGGTAGTGAGTGCCGACAATTGATTTCATTGCCTGTGTAGGTGTTTGTGTTTTGTATTGTACCAATGGGCATTACTATAATTATCAATAGCCTACAGGAAAAAAAAGAAGGCAGAGGGACTTTGTCTTCCAATATGAGGCATTTGGGGCATATAAAGTTCAATGAAGGCACTGTATTTTGTTATTTTAACAAAGGTTTCCTGCTAGTTCAAATAAGTAAAACTGTGGCCCTAGAGGTATAAGTTGTTGAATTCCAAATAACCTGTGCTGGTAGAGCGAGTCTGATGTTAGGAGTGGAAGTCTGTTTCTGTAGAAATGGTATCATTGGTCATGTTGAATGAATACCATCAATTTGAGTGCTATCTTTCTTTAAGTTTATTTATTTATTTTAAGAGAGAGAGTGCACAAGCAGGAGAGGGGTAGAAAACGAGGGAGAGAGAGAGAGAGAGAGAGAGAATCCCAGGTAGGCTCCGCGTTGTCAGCAAAGAGCCCAACGACGAACTGTGACATCATGACCTGAGCCAAAACCAAGAGTTGGACGCTTAACTGACTGGGCCACCCAGGCACCCTGAATGTTATTATCTTTGTTAGTTTAAATGTAATGTTAGTTTACATGTAATTTAAAAGATGCTTACCTGTAGTTTGAGGTTTGTACAAATCTAAACAGCAATATGCTAACGATACCCAGGTGGCACTTCAGGTCTATGTGAACTCTTTGTTTTAAAAAGGGTGCGTGTATCACTCAGGTGGGCTAGAGCAGGGTCAGCAAACTATCAGATAAAGAGCTGGATAGTAGATACTTTAGGCTTTGGTGGCCATACAGTCTCTGTCAAAATGACTTAACTCTGATGTGGTGGCAGGAAAGCAGCCACAGATTAGATCTGACCAGATGAGCGTAGCTGTGTCCAATAAAACTTTGTTTACAGAGCCAGGCAACAGGCTTGATTGGGACTTCATGTCCAATGTGCTGACTCCAGGGCTAGAGAGTATGATCCCGGTTCCTGGGCTTGACATACGGTCTCTTCATTCTCTCTAGATTCACCTCCTACCTGCTCTTCTGAACATTGGCTCTGCCCTAGACATTCCAGAGCTGCTTCATCTCCCAAGCATGTCACATTCTCCCAGGATTCCGCACCTTAGCTCATGCGCCCTGACACTTCCTTTCCCATCTTCTTAAACTGACTCCTACTCACCCTGGAAGATAAAACTTAAGGGGCCCTTGGGTGGCTCAATCCATTAAGCATCAGATTCTTGATCGCAGCTCAAGTCATCATCTCAGAATTCATGAGTTTGAGCCCTGGGTCAGGCTCTGAGCTGACAGCATAGAGCCTGCTTGCAATTCTCTCTCTCCCCCTCTCTCTGCCCTTCCTTTCTCTCTCTCTCTCTGTCTCTCCCCCTCCCTCCCTCCCTCCCTCTCTTTCTCAAAACGAATGAATACAGTTTTGGAAACAAACAAAACAGAAGCAAACCAAACCAAACAAAACACACTTCCTCCCAGAAGGATGTCTTTGGCCCCTTGTGACTGAGTTAATGCTTCTGTCTGCCCCCTCCTTGATTCTTTAAATTCACTCTGTACTCCCATAACATTTTCAGGAAACTCATCTGTGTTGTAACTGGACACTTACTTGACTATTTTACTGTCTTCTCTAGGCTGATCTCCCTCTTCTCTGTAGCACATGCTGTTCCATCCTTATAATTATTACCAATTTAGAGGACTGATGGAAAGAACAGAAGGGGGTGAGTGTGAATTTTACATTGATGACATATTTACCCCACGGAACTCAGAAATGCCCCGAGTATGCCTTCAATTGTCAGAGTTAGGTATTCTCCCGTCTGTGGAAATGGGGGCTCGTGAGCTTTGCGAGTTTTGGAGAAATAAAGGGAATTTCATGTTTGTACATCCGGGTTTCGTGACTGTAAAACTGATGCCTGTGAAATGGATCAAAGTTAACTTTGACAAAGGGCAGGAAACAGATGAAAAATAAAGGAAAGAAGAAATAGAAGAAAACCTGCAGTGGATGTTTGGGGTATAGGTAGGTAGGCTGAGTTGGCGATGTAATAATTGAAGTCTGGGTTTCTGGGCAGGGAGGAAGGTCAGAGGGGGATGTTTCGGGAAGTGAGCCTGAGAGTGATGGAAGGAATGAGGGCGCTAACCCTGAGCCTTGGGCAGGGGGAAACTTGGGGATGCAGGGGTCAGCAGTGTTGGACTTTGCCTTTCCCTTTATCACTTTGCCTCTCTTTGCTTCTTGCCATTCCCTTCCTCTGTTTCTGTTTTGTCTAGATGTTTATACCCTGCCTTATCTTTTCCTGAACTAGCTATGACATGGTAAATATAAATATTGTGTTACTGATTTAAATGTTTTTCTTTTCTCTGTTTAAAGTGTTGATGTAGGTCAGTTGATCCTTGATCCCCTTTTTCTTAAAAGAATAACATGTCCCTTCTAGAAGTTTAAAATGTTTCTACCCTTGTTAAGAAAAAATAAATAAATAAATAAATAAAGAAGAACTCTACTATGGTTATGCATTTTAGGAGAAACTCAAATCCTAAAAATAGAAAGTTAAGGGTAGCTCTTTTTTCCTATTTGATAATATAATTATTACACCAAAGGGAAAAAAGTATATTAAAAATTAATCTTACTAAGCCACGAATGACTAGTGGTACAAATACTACAGGGAAAAGAAAGTAATTTTTTCAAAAAGAGGTAATGGGGTAAGATCAAGGAGAATGCCTAGGGCTCCCAGAATCAGCACCATCCTGCACACAAATAAACATAAGACGGTGGGTAAAGATACTGTGGCCGAATTTCCTAATCAGAAAAATATCTTTGAAATTTGAAAACCAAGTTGTGATTGTCAGATTTAAGAGTGATCTTAATACTAGACTATATTTTTGAGTTGATCTCTGAGCAGGACACTTTCTGTCTGTGATTGAGATCCTTCCATGGGATTGACAGTATTATATACATGCTTTCACACCAGACACAGGTCACACATATATCCCTGAGAAACAGGAGGTAATCAAATACTCCACAGGAAATGGCACTGGACACATTTTATTGTTAAGATTATTGCTTATGATTTGGGAAATGTTTTAACATTTGTCATCTGATCGTTAAAATCAAAACTCTTGTGTCCTAAGTAGTTTTCATTAGATGATGTTAGTGATTTTATGCAAACGTGAAGACATTTTTACCAGATTATATTACTAACAGGGTCCAAATTTCAGGTAATATATATTTTTTTAATAAAGAAGACCTAGGGTCTTCCTTTAGTCAACTCAGGGACCTAAGTTAGTGGTCCTTCACTGGAAACATAATCATCATTACACCTTGTTGTGTGTGGTAGTAACTCAGTGCTCCCGACAACCACATAAGGTGAGTTCTCTGACTGCCCACTTACAGCTGTGCAAGCAGAGATAGAAGGGGTGGGTAACTTGCCCAAAGTCACACAGATGATGAGTGGCAGAGCCAGGGTGATGTCCCGTACAGTCTGGCTCCTGAGGCCTTGGGCTTCACCTCCAAGCTTTGCTTCTTCTCACCATTCTTCCTCCCAAGTGCACCAGTTTTGTCAAATTTCTGTAGAAGATTCATTCCCTGTCACTGTGTGTTTGTGATCTATATGCACCTTTCGTGAATAAAACCGACAAAGCTTTGTCTGTATAAATGACCTGTGTTAATGTCTCTTGGCATTAAGATGCCTCGTGGGGAAGTAGAAATTATATTTTGCTGTCCTTGTCTGGATTCTTCAGTAATGGATTATGGCCACAGGATATGAAATCAACCTGTGGAAAAACTGAAAGGATCATCATTAATAACGGCACACCTGACATCATATGGCGCCTGATGTGACATATCGAGAAGGATGCAACATCATCTATGTGATAGTAGTGCTAAAATGTTTCCCCTGAATCTAACCATGAGGGAACACTCAGACAAACACACATTTAAGGACATCCTGCATAGTCGCTGGCCTGGACTCTTCAAAGGCATCAGTGTCACGAAAGACAGAGAGGCCAAGGAGTTCTTTAAGATTGATGGAGCCAGGACGATGAAATGCAATGTATGATCCTTGTTTGGATTCTGGATCAGGAGAAAAAACAGCTGTAGAGGACATTGTTGGGACAAACAGGTCATTTTGAATATGCATTGCATATTAGATAATGTTAAGTCTCCTGAGTGTGGTAATTGTGTAAGAGAATGCCACTGCTCTTTCAAGCATAGAAAGGATATGTGTGTGTGTGTGTTTATAAAGTTAATAAAATATTAACAATTAGTGAATCTGCGTGAATGACAAATTGGTGATTATTGTACTGTTCTCACAACTTTTTGGAGGGTTTGAAATGTTCATAAATTTATTTTTTTTTTTAATTTTTTTTTTCAATGTTTGTTTATTTTTGGGACAGAGAGAGACAGAGCATGAACGGGGGAGGGGCAGAGAGAGAGGGAGACACAGAATCGGAAACAGGCTCCAGGCTCTGAGCCATCAGCCCAGAGCCTGATGCGGGGCTCGAACTCACAGACCGCGAGATCGTGACCTGGCTGAAGTCGGATGCTTAACCGACTGCGCCACCCAGGCGCCCCAGAAATGTTCATAAATTTAAACGATCTGTGTGGGAATGGTATAGTAAGTGGATACACACACATACATATATACACAAACACATATATATCACGCAGATATATACACACACATATACATACACACACCTATACACACATACACACCATATACACACACACATACACACATACACACATGCACACACACAGACGTATATAGACACATATACACACATATACACACACATACACACATATACATACACACATATAGACACACACATATACATACACACACATATATACACACATATATATACACACATATACACACATATAGACACACACACATATAGACACACACATAGACACACACATATAGACACGTACATATATACATACACAGATATGTACACATACACACATATATACACATATATAGACACACACATATATAGACACACATATAGACACACACATGCACTTGTGTGTTCTTCCCTCCACCTGTGGCTCCTCTCTCTCACTAGGATCCTCTTCTCCCTCTTTACCTACTTACTGCTTACTCATTCTTCAAACATCAATTCTTTGCCAAGTCCTTCCTGGTCTATCTGCTTAGGGTGAAACCCCGATATGGGCTTCTAGGGTGATAGGACACATGTCTCTGGTAATATTTACCCCAACAGCAATGAAAATTCTGTGATTGGATTACTGCTTTCTGCTCTCACTAGGTTGCAGGCTCTCTCTTGTATTTGTTTTGCTTACCATGGTCACCATAGCAGGATCTTAGTAACTGATACATACTTTTAATACATGCTTTTTAAAATGGTTTTTTTTCCAGTAAAAATAATGAGAATTAAAAAAAACTTAACTAAATTTTTTAAGGTTTATTTATTTTTGAGAGAGAGAGAGAGAGAGAGAGACAGAGCGCTAGTGGGGGAGGGGCAGAGAGAGAGGGAGACAGAATCTGAAGCAGGCTCCAGGCTCTGAGAATGTCAGCACAGAGCCTGACACGGGCTTAAAAAATATTTAGAATTTTTATCTTTACCGAGTTCCATCGTACTTAACTTGAAAAAGAATAGGTATTTTCTTCTGAAGCTTCATTCCAGGTCTTTATTTTTTTCCCCTTCACTGAAGCTAATTTCAGTTCTGAAGTTTATATGATCCCCTCTGACAATATAGACACATTATTGTCATAATGCTCCTTGAAAAATGGGTTAAGTCACTTGGCTTCTGTTTACTTTCATAATCGATATGACTTCATGCAAAATGATGCAGCAGTTCACATCATTCTGTCAGTCCCCATGAAGGAAATACTGTTTTCCAAAATTAAAATTGTGAATCAGCCCACAGGAGGATGTCGTCAAATAAACAAAGAATCATCGCTCATATTACACTGCCAAGTTTTTGATAAGCTTAATTTCTCTAAATGCATTTAACTTTAATGAAGAGTAATACAATTTAATAACAGCATAAAATGGAATCATTTATCTTCGCAGTCCAAAACATTGGGCAGATGTCCTCTCCTTAATATGTTGTTTCAATTGCAAGGTTTTTGTCCTTCCTCAGATTTGTCTTCCCTCATTTCTCTATGTGCGGTTTGGGGAGTGATCTATGTGTACATGTTTAATTAAATCACTCATCAGCCTGTGGTTTTCATGGTTGGAAATCTCTGGGATGCGTTATTTCAAGTTCTTGAGGCATTGATACTTACACAACCCAATAAAACTTGGTAATTATTAGCATATTAGTCAAAATTGTTTCAGTTGGAAGTGACATAAAGCCAATCTCAAACTGACTTAAGCAAAAAGGGGAATTTATTGGCACCCATAACTGGGGAGACCAAAGGTGGATGTTGGTTTCACAAGCTCAGATGAGGTGGGTCAGGGTCTCTCCTCCTCTCCTGACTTGCTTTCCTCTGGGTTAACTTCATTCTCAGGTGGGCACTTGAGTTATGCCCAGCAAGGGAGTGTTCATATAACAATAGTAGGTCATTTGTTGATACAGGGGTGAACCTCAGATACTTACAAATGGGGCAGGGGGCTCCAGCCCAGCCCAAACTGGGGTTTGGAGTCTGCCTGGATATCTATTAGTTGAATCTGCACTTTTTTTTTTTTTTTTTGGCTTAAGGAGGGGTTTTGTTAGAAAACTCTCTTGCGAGACGATCAAGTGGGGAGACACCGTTAGTTTTTGAGCCTGTGAGAAAAGCAGAATTATAACCAAAGGTGAAATCATTGTTTTTATAAAGGATTTTTAAACTATGAAGGAAATGCAACACAGTTTTGGTGCTTGAAGGGCGTGATAGCTTTGAAATGCTTCCAGGAGACGACATCAGTGCAACAGAGGACGGCATCTCACGGAGAACAGTCATGAGCCCAAAAGCCATAGTTTCATTCCTGAGTTCCCTGTGGAGACTTCCAGAACTGCTTGAGTCTCTGGGCCACAGAGGCAGTGTAATGTGGATTACAGTGACAAGAGACTTAGCCCCTTGGTTTATGGAAGGTGTTTCTAATTAGTTTTATATGGGCAGATTGCTTGACCCCAAGGTTTTCTTGCAGAGAGGGAATCAATGCGGAAGACGTTGTAAGAGTTAGAGTAAGTTAATGGGAGGGTACAAAGGAATAGGTTATTGTGTGTTGGTAAATGTTTCATTTTGATAATTTGGTAACACATGCACCGTACACAAAAAGCAAGGGACATTATCACAGGCTTGTCACGTGTTGTCTATAAGAAAGTCGTGTTGTCGCTCTACGTGGGCTTTTTCAAAAATGGAATCAGTGTTAGAAGAGCCATTTCAGACATGTTTCAAATCACTGAGAAACTTGAAGTTCCCTCATGTTGAGAACACTCTTCCTGTATAACCTCTTCTCTGGTTAAAAGCATTTAAAATCTTTGAGAAGCATATATAATGGAATTGCAGAGATTTATAGATTCCAATCAGTCATGTGATCTGCAGAGTTCACTGTAAATTGTTATCTAGGAAAAAGCCTCTATTACTTTTGTTTGTATAAGCTCATATCCTAAATAAAACTACTGCCAGCAGAATGCTCATTAAAGTGGATTTAAGATTCCAAATGAAAAGTTATTGATTTCAAAAAGGATAAACACCACTAAGCCTCAAGAATCATCTGAAGTTATTAAATTACCAATTTAGTTACTGTCATTATTTTTTTTTTTTACTCTCTTGGTTATTTATTAAGTAAACTGTATAAGGTATAATGTTTGAAATGAAACTCTAAGATAACAGCCAATGGTTATTTTCCACACACATTTAGAAATTAATGATCTGCTGAAAAATGGTGATGGGTTTGGTCTCTCTTGCCCCAAATTCCTGGCCCTTGTAAAAAATATAGCCTACTTCATGTCCATGGGAAGGCAAGATTAGGATGGGTGTCAGATGATAAATTTTTAGCCATCAGCATCTAGCCAAAAGAGCCTGACTTAGCCCTATCACATTCCCCATGTATATTTATGTACTGTACCATTTGGGTATTATAATAAAAAATTTTATCTGTCCCTGGAGACAAAATTGAGTTATATATTAAATGGCTATTTTCTTTGTTTTCTGCTTAGGTATGCGTGTAATGTGGTAGCATAATATATATTCCACACTTGTTTCATTCCTGCAGAGAGATAATATTTTTGCAGCTGACAGAGTAAAGACATCCTGTGCTTCTAGAATAAGAGAGAACATATTGGCAGGATAAAATACAGATGTTCCCAGTGTTTTTTCTACCTCATGGTTGCATTCAACAAAGGTTAACTTTCATAGGCATATTTCCCTGTCCTTGTTTAGGCAGTTGGACACACAAGTCCACAGCAAATTCAAGATTGTGAGAGGTTGTTCCAAGGAAAGTATTTCAGAAGGCTTTTAGTGGTGGGAAAGTAACTTAAGATCTCATACCCTGCCTCCCCACCCACTGCGTAGTAAGAATGAGACATCAAAGTAACTTCCCTGCTTCTCCTTAAGGAAAGAACTTGTAGTATAGCCATTTTTTTTCTCCTAAATAATTTTATTTTTTCTTAATATAATACAAACAAAATTTCTCTTGTCATAGTCTAAGGAAAAGAAAGAGAAACTTGTGTGACAAAGATGATATCCTTTGCACCTGTTTGATCCCTTCCTTTTTCCCATTTCAGAAAGGAACAGTCCCAAGGAGTGTAAAAGGAGTATAAAAATATCATTTGTGTATTATTGTTGGAAACTTGTCACCGCATCTATGAAGCTGAGGAGTGTAACCGGCATTGGAACAGGTAGGAGTGAATAAAGGGGACACTGATGAGCCACTGTTCACGTTTTGACTGTCTCTTCTGGAACAACTAACTCTTGGGGTGCCTGGGTGGCTGAATCAGTTAAGTGTCCGACTCTTGATTTCAGCTCAGGTCATGATCTCAGGGTTCTACTCTAATTTCAGGTCATGATCTCAGGTTCTCCACCCTCTCAAAACAAACAGACAAACAAACAAACAAACAAACAAACAAACCTACACACACACACACACACACACACACACACACACACACATACACACACACACACACAAAACTAATTCTTCTTCTGTAAGGATGAGAGAAAAATTTCCAGATACATTAAGGAATTCAGTAGTTCAAATGGGGAGGATCAGACATGAGCATTCAGATACAATAATCTCTAGTAAAACAGACCTCCTGTAGAATAAAGGGAAGAACTTTGGGGTTGGGGGAGGTCATTTTCTTAATTAGATTCACAAGGATCCTTTTTTGAGCTTCTTAAGTGCAAACTTCCACAAAAACATACATGTTGAGACACAAAAAACCAATCTTGGAAATAAAAAGAAGAGTAGGTACAGGACACTCTTCCAGAATACGCAGAGCATAACCTTTAAGATTGGGGAATTCAAGAAAGAAAATTCAAGAGGCAGGAAATGTTGAAGTATGAGAAGTAGTACCATGATTTTGTGGGTTCCGGAAGGAGAAAATAGTGGCTGAATGAGAAGTAATAATCAAGTAAACAAAAGAAGGCAGCTTCTCTGAATTGAAACAGTCAGCCTTTTATATGGAGCAGGGTTAGCGTAGACTTAGGGGGTATGAACGGAGTCAGGTGGAAGCAGTCAGCTGGGAGAACAAAGTCACCAAAGCAGGGGTGGGGGGGTGGAGTTTGAATGACATTAGGCTTCTTACTTGCAACATTAACGTTAGAAAACCTTAGAGAAAATGTATAGATTTCTGGGAAAAAAAGTGTTAGGTTTCAAGAATTATATTCCAAGCCAAGCTCTTGTCTAAATGCAAAGGCAAATGAAAGCCTGGCTCAGATTTAAAAGAATTCAGAAATTAGATGACCTGTGTATGCTTTTGGAAAAACAGAACTTAAAGTAGACCTTCAAGCAAAAATTAATCAAAATAAAGAATTTAATAAAGACACAGACATATTTTAGGAAAAAAAGAGCAGTGAGCAAGAAAAACGTAGATGAAAATCTAGAGAATCGCTTGTAATGTGGTTGTGAAATTATGTACAGTTTATAACAAAGAATGTATATAATTTTAAAAACCTCCTAAAGATGGGGGAGGGGGAGAAAGAGAGAGAGTTGGAGAAGGAGAGAGTAAAGTGTGATGTGAAGTTTTTCTTGTCGAACCAGGAGGGTCTGTATCGGTAACTTCATTCTTGACATTAATGGAGAATAAATTAAAACACATTTAAAAACATTAAACAAAACCAATTTAAACTGAGGCCATTGGAAAAGAAAGAAAAAAAGGGAAGCATTATTATTTCAAAGGATGGCAAAGTGTGTATGTGTGTGTGACAGAGAGAGAGAGAGAGAGAGAGAGAGAGAGAGAGAGAGAGAGAGAGAGAATGAGAGCGTGAGACTGAGTTTTAGAGAAATACCAATTAGGTTTCTCTATTACAACTTCAAGGCCATGATGGAAGAACGGATTTACCTTTCTCTAAAACTGTACAAAACATGTGAGGTGACTACTTTTAGGCACTGGAAAATAGTGCAGGACTCCAGTCTCAGCAAGACAGGAAATAAATGAGGTGAGCACCACATCCAACCTGATTTTATGTCTGGGGGTGCTTTGCTGAACTGGCACTAAGTGAAGAGCCCAGGTGAAGAACATCAAGTCGTACTGAGCCGAGGAGACAGAAATGGCAGTAGAGGTCATGAAGAGGCAGTTGGGATTCATAGGATAGAATTCCAGAGGCAAATGAGCTCTGCAGAAGGGAAATGTCAGAAATCTGTGTGGAGATTCTTCTTACCTCTGGCTAAGAGCTGCTCTGGGCTTTGCCTGTACAGGGTAAGATTCTGTAAGACCTCTTGATTCTGCAAGACCACAGCTGCTGTGGCACTAAGAAATGAATGGAAATGCCAAAAGTCACGTAGTGCTAAAATATATTGGAGTTTTGACCCAACGATGGCGTAAAGACTTCATTGAGCACACAGGGCATTCGACTGAGACCCCAGGAAGCCCACTCTTTTGGAATAAGGAGTAGGAGCATATCCTAGAATTGAGGTCAAAATCAATATAGATTTGCTCAAAGAAAGCATAAAATGAAGCCTGAGGGATTAAAAGAATGAACCTGTTGTGTAGTTGCTGGCCAGAACCAAACATTACACCTTAAAAAAAAGTTGTTTTTTTTTATTTTTGAGAGAGAGAGAGTACACAGAGGAGAGGAGCATTCGTGGAATCCCAAGCAGGCTCTGCATTGTCAGCACCGAGGCCCACACAGGGCTCAAACTGAGGAACCAGGATATCATGACCTGAGCCAAAGTCAACAGTCAGACCTTTAACCTACTGAGCCACCCAGGCGCCCCCAAACATAACACCTTTAAATGAGAGACAAGATAATCCAGATGCTGTACAATATATCATTTGTAACGTGCAGCATGCAATAAAAATTAATACATATGCAAAGAAGCAGGAAAATGGTATTCATAATCAAGATTAAAAAACAGGCAACCAAAAGAGATCCTGAAAACGGCTCAGATTTTGGAGCTAGAACACAGTTTAAAAATGGTGATTGTAAGCATGTTCAAGGATTTAAAGACAAAAAAATGGACATAATGAACAGGTTGGGAAATCTCAGAAATACAAGCTGTACAAAACTATCAATTAAAAATACTAGAAATAACAATTTCCCTCAGTGGCTTAAGAGGAGATTGGATACTGCAGAATAAAAAGTATGAGAACCTGAAAATAGATCAATTAGAAAATATCAAAACTGAACAACAGAATAAATTTTATTTTCTATTTTCTAAAATGAACAGAGCCTCTGTATCTTGTAGAATGATCTCACTTGTCTTACATGTAATTGAAATCTCTGAAGACAAGGGAAAAAAAGAATGGGTCAGAACTATTTGAAGAAATGATAACCTTAAATATTCAAAATTGGAAAAAAAATCAATCTACAGATGTAAGAAAGTCACAAAACCAAAAGCAATATATCTCTCAAAATAATCTTTAATATTAGAGGTTAAAAAATATCTTGAAAGGACTATACCTTAATACAATTTTACTTAATACAATTTAGCTCCAGTAGTCATGGAGCTAAAAGAAATGGCGAAGAAAGTTCATTGGGCTGAAGATAAAATTTCGGATGATACTAAGGAATGAACATAATTGGGAATGGTAAATATGTGGTAAATAAGAATTTTATTTTCCTACCTTTAAGTTTCCTTAACATACTCGATTGGTTCAAGCAAAAGTAAGAACAATGCATTGTGATATTTTTAGCATATGTAATGATAACACATGTCCATAGCATTAAGAATTGCAGGGGGTTAAGTGGAATTCTACCCTTGAAAGATTTGGATATTCTACATGAAATGTTATAATATTAATTACAAGTAGACTCAAGCTCAGGATATATACTCGAATTCCTAGAGCAATCACTAATAAACACACATACACACACACACACACACGCACACACACACACAAACCAAAAAGCAAATAAAATGGAGTACTAAAAAATATTTTATTGGATCAAGAAGGCCAGAAAGAACAAAGAAACACACATGATACGGGACAAATAAAAAGCAAATTGCAAGATGATAGAACTCAACACAACCATATTAATACTTAAATTGACTGAGAATGCACTAAATATTCCAGTTAATAATAAATTTCATAATAAAAAAGGTCAGTTCATTAAGAAGACACAACAGTTTGAAATGTGTATCCATCTAATTACTGTGTTTGACATAGCTCCTGGCACATATAACTATTTTTAATGAAAGGATGACTCAACACAAGGAAATCCATTAATGTAATTCACTATATAAATAGATCAAAGGAGGTAAAACTCATGACATTTCAATATGGGAGAAAATGCATTGGGTAAAATTCAATCATCACTCTTGATTAAAAACAAGTAAACAATAACTCTCAGCAAGCTTGCAAAAGAAGGAAACTTTCTTAAGCTGATAAACGTTAGCATAAACCAAGAGCAAATATTTGATGTAAAACATTACAATCGTTCCTACTAATGTTCCTAAGATAAATTTGCTCCCAGCATTGTTGGTATTTAATCTTGTAATGGAGAGTCTAACTAATGCAGTAAGACAGAAAAGAATAATATATATACATATATACGTATGTGTATATATATATGTATATACTATAAAGGAAAGACACAGATAAAATTATTTGCAAACAAGAGCTTGTCTTAGAAATCCAAGAAAAAAATTTACTAGAATCAGTACAATATTGAATATGAGGTTTAGGTAAATCAAAAGCAAAATCAGTGGTTTCTTATATATTATCAACAATACATTAAAAAAATGAAACAGAGAAAAAGGAACTTACTCTCACCAAAAGAAAAACTATAAAGCTGTGGGGAAGGGGTGCATGGGTGGCTCACTTGGTTAAGCTTCCGGCCCTTGGTTTCAGCTCAGGTCATGATCTCACACTTCATGAGTTTGAGCCCAGCATCTCACTCTGTGCTGACAGTGCGCAACCTCCTTGGAATTCTCTCTCTCCCTCTCTCTTTGCCCCTCTCCTGCTTGCTCTCTCTCACTCTCTCTCAAAATAAATAAATAAACCTTCCTTTTTTTTTTTTTTTTTTAAATGAAGGTGTAGGAAAAAAAAACAACCCAGTAAATGCAGGTAGTCCCTTCCTAAATGGAAAGACACTATTTTTGAGATAGAAATCTTCCCAAGTTGATATAGAACTGTAGTGCAATCCTTATCATTATATATGGAACTTAAGCTGATTCTGTAGGTCACATGATAGAAGAAAATAGCAAGTAATAGCCTGTAAATCTCTGAGAGGAAAA